AAACATTATTAAAATTTTCTCAAAATCTATTTTTATATCTAATTATTAAATTTAAAACTTCAAAAATACTTAAAATGAAGTAGATCTATCAACCTATGAAAATATTCAAAATTGACGGTCTAGATAATATATTGCAAGATGCAATATTTTTTAGACTTAAAATCTTCTTTTTTTTCATATTCATACATCTCGATTTCGAGATGACTAATTACCGGTTTTTTCAACATTTAAACTACCTTTTCCGATGGATTTTTGAGGTGCATATGTAATTCTACATTTTAAGATTGTAGCCTTATATAAACTTTAGATATATATATATATATATGGGATATCCTAAACTTTACAACACTTCAAATTACAAAGGTTCAAGATAAAGAGATATGTGAAAGGTAGATTATTGTAATTGAAAATTTTAGATCGCTTTAACTTTTAATAGAGCACATATATTATGCTCTTTTGGGAACATGGTTTAAGGATAGATGATCTATTTGGAAGGAAATTTTCAATTTAAAACTCTGGGTCCTAAAACTAATTTTTAATTGAAGTAGTATATGAACAGTATACTCCAAAGGGACTAGACGTTTTCACCTTTTAATAATGGAAAACTTTTCTATTTAAATAAGAGAGAGAAAGGGAGGTTTTATCGTTCCCCTCTTTTCTCAAGATTCAAAAAGAAGAAAAGCCAGAAGCTCCTACGGCAAGTTTCTGCTGGTTCCGGCGGCCAGCTTCAACTGACCCAGGTGAGTTGTTTATTTAAATATTCAGTAGTATGTAATATTTAGTGCTTTAGGTTTTGAAAGTAGGAAAATAAGGAAACATTTGTTTCCAATTTAGGTTTAGATCAAGAATTAGGGTTTTTGTATTGTTTTTTTTTTTCTATTGGGTTTCAATTTTAGGTTATTAAAGAAGGGTTTTACAATTTTATAAACCCCTCAAATTACTACCCGAAAATCTAAAAACCTATCTTTTTGGTTTTTCTTTAATATATTAGTTGTAACTTTTGATATTGAAATTTATAAGGGCTTAGACGATGAATCCTAAATAAAATCCAAACAATGAAATAAGGAGAAAATTGAAATTGCAATTTCTGTTTTAGTTTATGTTTTGTAAAAGACATTAATAAACCAGCAAAAAAAATGAAAATGCAAAAAAACAAAGTGAAATACATATGGGGCATTTTTTTTTGTTTTTCTACTTTTCTGTTTTCAATTTTTGGAATGGGAAATCGAAAATGCAGAAGAGAGAAATTAGAAAATCTAAAAAAACAGAAAAAACAAAATAAAATTTAAAAAGAAAAAACGGAAATAAAAAAAAGGAAAAAATAGAAAAAAACTTTCTGTTTTTCTTTTTATTCTTCGGTTTTATTTTATATACTTATATAGTTTTAGCTTTTAATGTTGTAATTTGCAGTGGCTTAAAAGTGAATCCTAAATAAACTCAGAAAAAATAAGAAAATAAAGAAAAATTGAAATTGAGTTATTATATTATTAATGAGTATTTATGTGTTCTTTACAACTACTGTTAATGGGTATTTATTTATTGTTTCAAGAGTTATATTTGTCTCTAGTATTTCCTAGTTTTTCTATATTTTCCCAAAATTTCCTTATTTTCCTATCTTATTTAATTTTCTTAGACCTCAATCTGTTCCTTTTTTAACTATTTTATTAATTATTGAATTTCTTAGACCTCAATCTGTTTAATTTCACTTTAATTTACTCTTTTCATTATATTGTGCAGATTGTGAGAAAGATTCACTTTGATTTATTCTTTTCATTATATTGTGCAGATTGTGAGAAAGATTCACTTTGATTTACTCTTTTCATTATATTGTGCAGATTGTGAGAAAAGAAAAGCAGATGGGAGATTTTCTAGAGAGACCAAACTCGAGAAAAAGGAAGGAAATGAGATCTACTGGGCAGAGACAAATAAGAAGGCAGAAACAAAGAAAAAGGAAGTCCCTTGAAATCCCATGGTCTCAAAACTCTCCACACCACTCTCCCTCTACCCCACACTCTGCACATTACTCTCCCTCTTCCCCTCCTTCCCCAAACTCTCCACATTACTCTCCCTCTTCCCCTACTTCTTCCCCCCAGTACTCTCTTTCTCCTAACTCTCCAGAATACTCTCCCTCTTCCCCATCTCTCCGGAATACTTTCCCTCTTCTCCCCAATACTTTCCCTCTTCTCCCCAATACTCTCCCCCTTCCCCAAACTCGCCACACTACTCTCCCTCTTCCCCTCCTTCTCATTGTCCCTCTTGCCCTCCTTCACCCCAGTACTCTCTTTCTCCTAACTCTCCAGAATACTCTCCCTCTTCTCCCCAACACTCTACCTCTTCCCCCAACCTTTCAGAATACTCTCCCTCTTCTCCCCAATACTTTCCCTCTTCTCCCCAATACTCTCCCTCTTCTCCCAACTCTTCGGAATACTCTCCTTCTTCTCCCCAATACTTTCCCTCTTCTTCCCAATACTCTCCCTCTTCCCCCAACATTCCAGAATTCTCTCCCTCTTTTCCCCAATACTCTCCCTCTTCCCCCAACTCTCCAGAATACTCTCTCTCTTCTCCCGAATACTTTCCCACTTCTCCCCAATACTCTTCCTCTTCCCTCATATCTCTAGAATACTCTCGCTCTTCTCCCAATACTCTCCCTCTTCACCCCAAT